CTCGGCGCGGCGCGGGGGGGCCGAGCGGAGCGCGGCGCCGCGTCCCGGGGGTGGGGGGGGGATTACGTAGCAGCCGCGGGAAGCATTCCGCCGGTGCCTGGCTCAGTCCCGCTGCCCGGCTGTCGCCAGCGCCATTAGGGAGGGAGGCAGCCAGGCGAGGAGCGAGCGATCCCGCCGCCGTCCGCCGCTCCCCGCGCGCGCGCGCCTCATGAATATTAACCAGCCCACGGGGGAGCGAGGGAGGCTCGCGAGGGTGACGCCACCGCTCGCGCGGCGGGGCGGGGCCTCGCCGATAAACACAGCGTGACTCCCAGCCGGCCCGGGCGGCGCGCGGGGGTCGCTGGGAACTGTAGTCTCGCGGCGGCCGCAAGTCCCGGCAGTCCCGCGGCTTCCCGGGGCCGCGCAGGCTCCGGGGCGGGAGCGCGGGTGGGAGGCCGCGGCTCGCCGGCAGTGTCGGCGCTCCCTCACGGTGCGGGGTTGAATCTGTGTCAAAATTATCCCAGGACTTTGTCCCGCGCTCCATGTTTGTGTTCCTTGGGTCTGGTCGGAGGGTCCGGCAGGTCCGGCGGCCGCGCTCGCCCCGCTGTGCCCAACGTGAGGCGTTCGCCCCGCTGGCTGCCTCGGCGCTGAAGCCGAGCACTGAGCCCGGGCAGGCTTCCCCTCTAAAAAGGGATGATATTTCCAGATCCAAGATGGAGAGACATGGAAATTTGGGTGGAAACGTGTATGTGCATATACGCGCACATCCCGTGAGAAGAGCTGCTTTGTAGTAGACACAGAGAAGGTTTCTATCTCAGGGACTAAACACCTCAGATACCTGCTTGTAGAAAATCGATGAGAAGTAGCCATTAAATAGAAGCATTTTTTCAAAAAAAAGTCCCATGATTTAAAACAAATCACTGAAAAGGATAATCAGACACATTCAATTAGCAGTGTAAACGTGTGTTTTTATACTGCAGGGACACCATACTATGAAATTCAGAGAAATCTCTTATGCTCGTGGAGATGTTTTAGCTGAGTAATGCCGGCTGGATGGGGCTGTAACTGCCTGAGATCTCTCCCTTTAATAAATTTCGTAAAATCACAGTGAAGCATCTTGCCAGATACCCATGAAAAGCGCAATAGACTGCAATAAACTGGGAGTTCTGGGCAATTGACCAGTTATGTCAATATCAGGGGAGATAAATCATCACTAAGTATTGTGAGATAAACTCTTAGCGAAACATTATTTTTAGCTGGTCGGTCTTTTTAGTGCACACATATAATATATGAACCCCAAAATAAACCAGAACCATAATAAAAGTAATGTTTACCTCTCCTAATAAAACATTTCTCCACTCTTCCACGTTATTGTATTCATACCATATAGAAGCAGACTAAACAGGGTACAGCAAAGAACTTACAACTGAATCATGTAGCTGCCTTTTTAAAGTTTTTTTTTAACAACAAAAGTGATGTTTACTGTGTGTGAAAACCGCCCACTTTCTGAACAGAACAATCTAAAAATTAACTGTTCTGGTTGTGAAATTCATGCGGAGCTGTATCTAGAGCTGCAATCACCAGCGGCACTTCTTTGGAGTTCAAGAGCATGAACTGACAGAAGATGACGGCAGCACTTGGCCATTAAAGACTTAAACTGGTGCCCAAAACCTCCTCTGACAGTGGTGACACTCAACAGAAGTCAGAACTGATCAGATGAGCTCTGCTTCTGGCTGTTTGATATATTCTGATTTATTTCTACTGCTTTTGCCACCTACTTCATAGAGGTTACACCAGGTCCCCCTGATTTAAATGTGTGAGAGAAATGTTCTACATGCAAACACACACACACAAAGACACACACACTCAGAAGGAGACAGCAAGCTCTAGGGACATTATTATTCCTGATGATACATGAAATGTTTCTAGCAAGCATTTTCCAGGCCTTCTCTTCTTTGGTGGGAATGGCAAGAGGGATCTACCTTTCTCAAACTGTTCAAATACCTGAATGTTCATCCACACAGGAAAAGTCCAGAGCATAGAACCAAAGAGACATCTCCTGGAGCTTCCAGTTTTCTCCATTATGGCTGCAGATGCCACATCCTACATGTTAGTGAGGCCCCCCTAACACAGCAGATTAACAAGCTGAACATCAGTTTGAACTGAGCTCAGCTGATCTGTCCTCTACCCTAACTGGAAGACTGTCCCAGGGCCACCCTGTCCTCCCTGTTGGGACATTCCTTCCAATTTTCAGCCTGAATTTTACACTTGGGCAGTCTATGCACATTTGCTCACATGCCAGCATTGCATTGCCCTTTGACTCAAATAGCTGTGGTTTTGGTTTTTTTTTTAGCTCCGGAGCCTTTACCCCAAGGTGCTTAGAAGCAGCAACAGTATTCCCTGGCAGGCTTTGTTTGCTCTCTTGGGTAGACTTAAACACGCTCTTGTTGTGTCCTCTGAGGAGATAAATCCCACAGTGTAGGAACACGCAGTTAAGGTCGTTTGGACAGCCTTGGGCCAGATCTTCCATGGGGTGCACTGGTATAGCCATGGCTCTGGATTTTCTCTGTGAGTCCGCACGGAGCAGCCGCCATCTGCGATACAACTCGGAGAGGTGGCCGGGGACTGAGCTGACCTGGCTCTCCCTCTTGCCAGGCTAAGTCACCGCTGCCAGCAGCCCTACTCATGAATGGCTTTATGCAATTAAAAAACTAAGTGGCTGTACTAAAGTCCAGAGGGAGTGGGGAAGTTGTTGGATTTATCTCTGCCCCGTGACATTAGTTCAGGAGCAGGAGGCTGCAATGAGGCTCCCAGCATCCTATGAGCCCTGAGTTGAGCTGTAAGAAGAAAAGGGAGCCTGTGGTTGATTTTCATACTTAGATGAATATGAAGGCGACAGTTTCTCTAGTGGCCTAGCACCTCCAAATGTTAGCAGTACCCAGCCTGATTATTTTTGCATTGTGCAGGGAAGTGTGCTTGAAACCTCTAAGTATATGCATATTTAAATTGAATTCTCCAGCTTATGAGAAAGCTCTGCTATTTTCCATTTCCTGGTATCTCATATATACTCTTAAACTCTCCTGAAATTGTGAATTTCGATAAGGATTAACTGCTTTTGTCAGACATGGGAATGGAGATTGTGAAATTGATGTTTGACAGGAGGAAGTGGAAGGGTGAAATACACATTTCCCTTTTCTAAAGTTGGATTGATGACAGCTTGTTTGGGAAACAGGTAAAATGAAACAGGGTGCTTTGCAATCTGCAGTTTTCTGACCAGACTCAGGCGATCTTGAGGAGGAGTTTTCTGGTTATAGGAGTTGGCAACAAAAAATGAGGGAATAAAAAGTAATTTATCCAAGATTACTACAAATTACTCCATGCCAAAACTTTTTATACTGAACGAACAAATTATACACTCTCACACATAAGTGCAGGAAAATGCCAGAAGGTCTTGAAACCACAAGAAGACTTTTGAGGACAGTTTTATGTGCAGAGTTACCAGACCTTATCTGAAATCCTCACAGATGCTGGAGCTGTTGTAATCTTCACTGTCTACGTTTCTGCTGGCAGCTGCTACGGCTACAGCAGGAGGCATCAGGCTGCACACACACCCCTGGAGCTGACTGAGGAACTGCCGTGGTGCTTGGAGTGTGTTAATTCCTGCTCAGCCTCTTCTGAAATCTGCCTCCCCCAGTTCTCACAGATTCCTTTAAAGCCCTCAGGGATACACTGTGCTGTCATTAGATGTTTCTGCAAGGGAAGGGACAGATTATGGGCATCAGCTGATGTCTGTGGTTTTCCTTACTCTTTCATTATGAATGTAGAGCAGTGGACAAGGTCCAGCTTTGATTCGTATTGCTGCTGGTTCTGTTCTTTGTTAGAATTATACCCCTTCATTTCTGGTAACATCTTGGTTTCGCTATAGTTAATATTTTGCCAGACAATTCAATGATGGCTTATTTGTTGTGTCTAATTTTTCAGAAATGTCTGCTGCAGTGGGATAGTAAACAGCTTTTGTAGACTCAGTTTTAACATGAACTATACTCAAAGGGATTGTTTTTAGTTATATCAAATACACAGTGAATACCCAGTTTCAGTTTTGTTTTCAAAGATACCATTGCAAAATAATATGCCATCATTAAATAGAAATTGCTTAATCCCCAGTCCTTGACTACAGAAAAATTGACTGACAAGTCAGTTCTGGATCAAAAGCTGAGTGCTGAGAAACACTAGTGTGGGAAAGATTGTTTTTATACTTTCTCTGCTATAAGTCATCTTCAGTGATGCTGCTAAATGTTCATCTGTGTTTCAAGAAGGTATGAATCACTTTAGTGATTCCAGTTAAAGTGTGAAGATGAAGAGGGAGTTTAGAAAGAAAGAATTTAATGTCCTTCAACCCTGCAGAGTGTTAGAGAGCTTACTCAGCTCTCTTCTTTAGTAGTCTGTTTTTGTAGTAAGGCAGAATTTTTCTACAGATGACAAAGCAAGAGACTTATTTCAATGTCAGATTGCTGAAACAAAAGACATGTGCCACTGTATGTGTAATTCAGAGACCAGGAGATGGATGAGCAAAGGGACCATTTCAAATTAAACAATGTAGTAAGAATAACCTTCTTGCTTAAGTGAAATTGAATGTTGTCATATGGAAACTGTTCTCAAAATAATATTTTATCAGTAAGGATTAATGTCATTTTTTGAAATGCTAGGTATGCACCTGGGCCCATATTTACATAAATTGTAAATTCATATTTACATATTTACAAAATTGTAAATTCGTATTTACAATTGCCACAGCTATAGGAACAAATTGGATATATAGATAACAAATAACTGAAATTTTATGCAGATTGCTGCTCCAGCTGTGAATTTGAGCACAATAGTGTGTGTATGGTCCATGCAGTTGTGCTCATCTTGGCATGTAGGGCCTTCAAGGTAGTAAGGTATTTAAGATGGTGCTAATTCAGGGACATGTTTACTTTTAAAAGTGTTATTATATTGAGGATACAATTAAGAACTATTCTTGAACAGGGGAGTTTCCATTACTCAGTGCCTGAAATTATAATTTAGAGGCTGTAAGTGATCTTACAGTTGCCCTTTTGTTTAAACATTCAGTAACACTGGATTCTTATGACCTGGGAAGTTATTTGTACCTACAGCTCCCTAAATAATTTTCAGCAAGGTTTGATCTGTGTTTCTGGTTCCAAAACCACTTCCATACAAGTAATATCAACACTAGTACTTCAGCAGTACACTTCAAAGCACGTCACAAATGAGAGCAAGTGTAAATATTTTCATAATACGGAGAGAGGAGAAAAGAAGCAAGGACATTCTTGGCTGCACATTAGACTCCTCTAAAGGTGATAGGCACAAATCAGGTCTCCATGTTCTGAAAGTGAAGTGCTTTGAAACTTCCTTCTTGGTAAGCTGGAGTCCTGTCCCAGCTCCTTCTGGGCAGAGGGGCTGGAGGCGGGTGCAGAATCCAGCTGTGAGCTTGTTCAAGCGACAGTGATTCTCACTTGCAGTACTTGGCCACTTGAATTTCAG